GGCCGGGTGTGGCGCCTCCGCTGGGGCCTGGGAAGCCGCGACCCGGCCTCCGCCCTCCACCCTTTAGCAGGGGTCTACTTTGAATCAGCTTCCGTCTGCCCAGCCAGGCCCAACGAAAGTCACCTCTGACCTTTCATCAGAATAAAAAGCCAAAAGACGACCCATGCACAGAATGACAATGGCAGGGGCAGGAATGGGGAGGAAGTTAGGTTACATCTTAAAAATAGGTGTTTCCACGAATCCCTTATTTACAAATCCTATTGCGGGGTGCCTCAAAGTTTTGACTTCGCCTGGGAGACTCTTCTCAGGCCAGAAGTTTGGTTTTGGGGGCTCAAACAATTCGGGAGTATATCCCATTCTTCCAGCTTGAGACTGCCAGATTTCCTGTGAGGGTTTCCTCTCCGTTATTCTGGGACTATTGAAACAGAAAAAAAGAAAGAAGGCGGAGGGAACCATGACATGGGAGTTATAAATCTGGGGGAAGTTTGGGGTCTGGCTTCTCGGTCCATCTCCAGGTGAGTCTGAAGCCCCGGCCCCGAACCTAGTTTCGCAGCAGCAAGTTACCCGGTCAGAAGGGCCTGGGATCCCAGGGGTTTCTTCAAAACACCTCCTCTTTCTTTCTCACCTGCCTGAAAGGCCCAGTGTGCTTTTTAGGGGCGCCCTCGGTCCTGCTTTCAGGAGAGAGGTGAGGCCCAAACCGACCTGCGGCGCCGGGTGGGCTGGCTCAAGGGTCAGCCTCTCCAGAAAGAGAGGAAGCTATGGACTATGAAGCCTCCCGGCACCCAGCTCCTGCCGTGGAACCTCCTCCTGCATCAGTGAGATAAACACAGTGGTTTGGTTTGTGTTTTACAGTAAGGAGAGAAAGAGCAGAGATGAGAAGGCACAGTTTTCATCCATAAGGGAACCTTGGTTCCTAAAGGAAGCTGTGCACGAAGTGGAGACTGGAGAACAGGGGGATTCGTGCAAATAAACAAGGCGGGGGTGGGGGAGGGCTTTTCTGTCAAGGCCCTGATCCCAAGGGAGACCCCGGTTAAAGCCCTGGACACCGCCCTGAAGACCCTTCTTCACTAAGATGGTGCCTGTCGTTGAACCCTAACTGTATTGTGAGGGCTTCATCCCCAGTAGCACCTACTACAGCGTTGCCAAGCCGGGAATCTAGCAAGGAATAGTCTTGACAGACCTTTGGGACACCAGGACTGGGAGAACCCCCCAGGCCCAGGCTCACTGCTGTCACCAGAATCAGATCTATATACCCAAGTGCCAAAACACATCCACTCAAAGACATTGGAGCCAGGTTTAGTGCTTATTTTAAACATGCTAATGGGGATCCAGCCATTGATAAAGTATTGGTTTGGCAATAATGGAAGTTTATAGAGAACCACTAAAACCTGTATAAGAGGAATAATAAATTAATGGTGATATTTTGGTAACCCTCTCAACATGAAATCATGCTCCTAGTTTCCAGGATGATAGATAAGGCTGT